TGGGTGGTGATAAGTAGTGATTTTTACGGGTTGGTTGACTGGTGAACGTGGGGTGAGTGTGTGTGGTGATTGTAGGGTGCTTGGGTGGTGATTGATTGCGTGGTGATTGAGTGGTGATTGTGTGGTGATTGATAGCGTGGTGATAAGTGATGATTCTTACGGGTTGGTTGACTGGTGAACGTGGGGTGAGTGTGTGGTGATTGATTGCGTGGTGATTGAGTGATGAGTGTGTGGTGATTGATTGCGTGGTGATTGAGTGATGAGTGTGGTGATTGATTGCGTGGTGATTGATTGCGTGATCATGGAGTGAACGTATGGTAACCCAGTAGTAAACATATAGTGAACATGTGATGACTGTGTGTTGTGATGCATGTATGGTGACAAATATAGTGAAGGAAAGATATAGTGACTGATGGTAGTAGGATAGTGAGGTGATGGTGAGATGTGGTGACACCATCACCACCACCACCATCGTATATAAACACACCTTTGACACCTATAACTAATTAAATATATATATAATTACTGCTTCAATTAGTATATAAATAATTATTCTTAGGCCATAATTAGTGAATCATAAGTAATCCCGTTTAGTTATGGTCATTAGCCCTGATTAATTATCCTGATGTAATTAGTATGTCAGGTAATTAATTTCATTGTCTATTTAATTTACGTAGATATATTAGTTATTTTATATTGTTTATCTGTATGACGTAGGCCTCTGTATAACGAAAGCTTTTATAACGAAGTTTCTTATATAACAAAACCTCTGCGTAACGAAGCCTCTGCATAACGAAATGTCTGTATAACGAAGCCTCATATAACGAAGCCTTTATAACACAACCTGTATAACAAAGCCAGATATATAACGTAAAACTATACCGTATTTCGTTATATATTTCGTTTATGTCACAAATTACGAAATAGATTGAAATATATCCATTCCGGGTGAATAAATAATAATTTGAATATATTTTGAAATATATTTTTATTCCGCTGAAAATACGTCAAATTTCAGATTAAAACACCGAGTTCTATTTCCTGTTAAATTATGTTCGAAATCGGATTAAAATACGGATTGTTATTCCACCAAAATATGTTCAAAATCGGATAAAAATATGTATTGTAATTCCACCAAAATATGTTCAAAATCGGATAAAAATATGTATTGTTATTCCGATTATTACATGTTCGAAATCTGACTCAAATACGTATTGTTACTCAGATTAAAATCGGTTCTAAATCTGAATGAAACACCGCGGAGGCTTCCATTTTGCTTACGGGTTTGGAAGGTTATGAGTGAACAGTGCCACTTAGTAATTGGCACTCCTTATACAGTGCCTAGTGCCTTATGGTGCCTGGGTGGAGAGTGGGGGGGGAGGGGAGGAAGAGGTCTTTTGGCAATACTTATTATCTTCAAGATCAATACAGAGGAGGGAAGGAAGGAGGGAGGCAGGGAGGGAAGGAGAGAGATAGGGAAGGAGAGGAGGGGGAGGAGGGAGGGAGGAAAGAGAAGAACGCGGAGGAGTTCTGCAATAGGTCGGTTGGCTTGTGCATGGCAGCTCCTGTCGAGAGTTACTACCACCTCTATCATCCATGAATCTATCTAGCCTTCTTTAAAACTTTCCAGAGTTCCGCACTTACTACAAAGTTACAGCTTGTTCCATCTGTCCACCACCCTATTTGTGAACCAGTTTCTTATCTCCTCCTAAACCTAAACTTATCCAACTTGAATCCGTTGTTCGAGTCCTATCCTGCTCGGATATTATAAGAACTTTATCTATATCCCTTTATTGATTCCTTTCACCCACTTAAATACTTCTATCATATCTCCCGCACTCTTCGTCTTTCTAGGAATGCAAGTTAAGTTTCTTTAACCTATCCTGATATGGAAGGCTTCTAAGTCCCGGAATCATTTTTGTCATTCTTCGCTGCACCGACTCTAGTGAATTGATATCCATTCTATAATAGGGGCACCAGAACTGAACCGCATAATCGAGGTGCGGCCTGACTAGCGCAAGATATAGTTGCAAGACCTCCTATTACTTACACTTCTAGATAAAAACCCAATACTCTGTTTGCCTTATTTCGAACATTAACGCACTGTTTTCTAGGCCGTAGGTCCGCTACAAGTACCCCTAGGTCTCTTTCACAAGTCGTCTTCTCTAGGTTGATGTTGTTAAGGCTGTATACATTGACAGTATTTGTTCTTCCAATATTAAGTACGCTGTGTGGAAAAAGGGTATAAGTACCATAACACCCCCCCACACACCTGTTCAGCACCTGTGACGGCAGGTGACAACATACTGCTGTAGTGTGACGGGGGTGTGACGGTCTGTGACGAGAATCTATTTATGTTACTAACGCGTGACGGCAATTTGATGTAACAGGCAGACCGTGTAACAGGCAAATGGTGTGGCAGACAGATGGTGTGACAGACAGATGGTGTGACAGACAGATGGTGTGAGACAGATGGTGTGACAGACAGATGGTGTGACAGATAGATGGTATGACAGATAGATGGTGTGACAGACATATGGTGTGACAGATAGATGGTGTGACGCTACTGTCGGATGAAAGATCAGGGAAGTGTCACAAAAGATGGCAGTGTCAATAATCATGAGAAAGTGTCAATACAAATAATGGTAATGTCAATAACTCACAAATGACGCAATGAATGACATGACACAATGAATGACGCAATGACAATGAATGACGCAATGACGCAATGACAAAAAAATGGAATGAAAACTTTGAAAATGAGATAAATTCATATATACAAGATCAAAAAAATAATAATAATAGTTATAATCATCATAGCGGATATTCATAATTAATAATAATTAGAAGTAAAAATTGTAACTTGTGTACTTACTGGCACCTAGCCGAGGTAAAGTAGATTAAAATACAGAAAGATAAGGAAGAAAGATAGTCAGAAAATGAGCAATTAGCAAGCCCCCTCCCCCCCACCCCCCCAACCTTTACTTAACTATCACAACTACCCTTCAACATTTCCATCCCTTTCCCTTTACGTGTTACGGTTGTTACGGCCGCTAGATACCGTAACAGGACGTAACTCGTTGTCTGTTTCCCCTTTGTAGTCACCACTCTTAGTCACATTGCCCCTTTGTTACTTGTTTCTCTGGTCATATAAAGGGGGGGGGGGTGAAGTTTAAGCCTTTGTTAGATTTAAAGGGTGGAGTAATGGGTACCTAAGGGGTGTCAAGCACTGCCTCTTCACACTAAGGGGAGATGTAATGCTTAAGGGGAAAAATTCTACCATTTTGACTCATTAAGGGGAAAGGGGTAGGTTGAGATTGATATGACCCCTTTACTACACTAAGGGGAGATGACATACCCTTTAATACACTAAAGGGGAGGTGGTATACCCTTTAATACACTAAGGGGAGGTCCTAGATCTATACAAAAGCATTAACATATCACCCCTTAGATAATGTGACCAACTAAGGGGTAAATCTACGTTCATTAAATGGGTGAAGAGAGTAACCCATTATATCAGTCTCTAGTTAAGGGGGAAATACAAAAACCATTAGGAGTTACTTATATACAAACCTATTGATTCCACTAATGGGAAAATAGGATCAAAGGAATTAACACTAATGGGGAAGAGGATTATCCCTTAGTTACATCCAAGGGAAAGGGGGTAATGATTCGCACCCCAATTTCATTGAGATTCGAACCACTACGGATGAAACCCCCACCCGAATCCTTTCCACCCTTTAACCTCGTCCCTAATGGTCCAAAAAACGCCCCAAAAGCTAAATAGGATAAAATATCAAAGCTAAGAGGAGCTGATATATGGCAAAGCTAAAAGCCAGAAAGCCAGCCAATCAGATACCACTTGAACCTGAATCAAGGGCCAATCAGGTTTTTAAGATTGAGTGTGAGTAACGCAGAAGGCAGAACGTGAGTGCTAGAGGGAGTGACTATTAAGGGGAGTGAGTTCCCTCTCTGAGTTCCTGGAAGCTATATAAGGAGTCTAATTTATCACACTACAGGGAAACAGATAAATATTACAGGTGAGAGACAAATGAGAATATAGTGTGTCTGACCAATCTCTTCAGGTCGAGAGTGAGAAATATTTTGAGATAATTAAAGAATTGTAGATATTAAGAGAAATTTGAATATCTCTTAGGTATACATAAGAGACATTAGGACATTTGTGAGATAATAAAAGTTAAGTGAGAGAGAATTTGAGAGATTTTTTTTGAGATATTTAAAGAGATGAAACTACTGATAGGTTTTCAGAGATTTACACTCCTAATTGTGAGACACTGAGCTAATTATTCTATTCCACCTTATAATTAAGAGATAATGACATCTGGGGGGGGTTAATTAGGCAGTCTTATTAGCCTAATGACCTTGTTAATTACATAAGTTACACGGCATTATATTACTCACAATGGGAGAAAATTTACTTATGCATTAATTAGCTCTCTCAAAATGGAGCGTTTATGAGTAATATGCTCAAAAAATACATCTCAGTAAAGTATTAGGAGAGGTTTACAGCTATGAGTTTACTATTTATGAGAGCTATTACTCATAAAGGATGACACATAGGTAAATTTACCCTCTTGTGAGTCTTAGCATTGTCTCAGTATTTTATGAGACATGATTTAAAAGAGAGAGTGTTTCTGTGAGTTTGTGAGTCTAAGAATGCTTGTAAGTTCTCATAAGTGCTTGTGAGTACTCATAAGTGACTTGTAGTGTGCTTAAGGGTGCAAAATAAGTGTTTGTGGCACCACTTACACTGATAGTAAAAATAAGTGCCAGTCTGTGTGTGAGAGAGAGAGAGAGAGAGAGAGAGAGAGAGAGAGATGCTGTGAGTGGCCTTGTAAGAGAATTAGAGAGAGAGAGAGAGAGAGAGAGAGAGAGATGCTGTGAGTGGTCTTGGAAGAGAATTAGAGAGAGAGAGAGAGAGAGAGAGAGAGAGAGAGAGAGAGAGAGAGAGAGAGAGAGAGAGAGAGATTTCCTATGAGTGGCCTTGTGAGTGTCTGTGACAGAGGAGATATTATGAGTGACAGAGGGGGTAGGGAGGGTTACTCACCAGCTCCTCGTCGTTGAGTGACGCCCTGGGAACTGCTGACGTCAACCCGGCATTTCTCTTCGTAGCTGCCATCGTCTGTAGCAGCATCGAGCGAGGGGAGAGGAAGGGAGAGAAGCAAAATAGAATTAGTTACATCGTATTGGTATATGGAAGAGGGGAGATGGGAAGGGGGAGCAGGAGGAGGGGAAGGAAAAGGAGTAATCACGAAGGAAGGGGGAGGAGAGAGAGAGAGAGAGAGAGAGAGAGAGAGAGAGAGAGAGAGAGAGAGAGAGAGAGAGAGAGAGAGAGAGATGGGATGGGTGATTAAAAGTCATGGGAATATCAATAATGGTCGATAAATGGGAGAAAAAAATAATGGGAGTTATAATACAGTCATGATGGTAATGGAAAAATAATGGTTATGGTAGTAAGAATAATGGTAGATAATGGTAGATGAAGGGGGGTAAAAAAATGGTAGTGATCAGATAGTAATGGTAATAATGGGGGAAATATTATCAATGGTAATACAGCCATAATGGTAATGGGAAATAATGGTAGCCAGAATAATGACATAATGGGAAAATAGTGACAATGGTAGCCAGAATAATGACATAATAGAGAAATAATGGTAATAATGACATAATGGGAAAATAATGACAATGGTAGCCAGAATAATGACAGATAATGGAGAAATAATGGTAATAATGACATAATGGGAAAATAATGACAATGGTAGCCAGAATAATGACAGAAATGGAGAAATAATGACAATGGTACTAATAATAATGATAAAGGGAACTAATGGTTATCCAAGTAATAATATAATGGTACATAAGGGGGGAAAAATTTCTAATGGTAGTTATATTAATGGTAGTGACGCAGGTGACACAACGAAGAGGAAGAAATGAAAGAAAACGGGTGATGATGGAGGGGGAAACTAGCGTAAACACGAGAGAGAGAGAGAGAGAGAGAGAGAGAGAGAGAGAGATATGGATAAGACAAAAAAAATCTGAAAGCAAAATGAAAGTAAGAAGAAAAATGAAAGATGAAAGAAAGAAAGAAAGGAAAAACCCCCAAACACTTTCTCTTCGCAGTCTTCTGGCACACGAGGATAAAAAAAAACTTTCTTTCACACGCAAAATGAAGGAGAAAGTAAAGACAAAGAAAACAAAGACTATGACGTCACATAACCTAGACACTATGACGTCACACCGCCTAGATACTATGACGTCACACCACCAAGGCAGTAATTAGGGACAGGTAAGCCTTTTGTTTACCTGCGGGATCACGTAACATAAATGGCTTTCTTAGACAATGTTGATGTTTTCTTGAAGGAGGGAGAGAGAGAAGAAGGATAAACAGTGGAAGAGAGAAGTAGGGGAAGAGAGGAGAGATAAGAATAGCGAGAAAAAAGGTTAAGATAATAAGACAGACAGAGAGAGAGAGAGAGAGAGATATCCTAAGTTAAAAAAAAAAAATTATAGCCCCACTGTTGAAAATATAGCCTAGAAAATAGTCCCTACTACAGTGCCCAATGGAGGAATGCAAACTAGCCCTGACTGTAATATAGCCCACACACACACACACACACACACACACACACACACACACACACACACACACACACACACACACACACACACACACACACACACACACACACACACACACACACACCCATACCATTCTCGCTCTCCATTTGTCACGGGAAACCAGAGAGTCAATCTAATATATGCATAGTAACTCCTGGGGAAAAAATATGCAGTCCTCCCCATCCCTCCTCCTTCCTCCCCTTTCTTCCTCCTCCCCTTCTTCCCCCTTCCCCAAAAACAAACATCATCAGCTATGCATAGACCCGAAGCCTGAGGCAAAAAAGACCACAAAGCCTCAACCCTGGTGATTATTATTTTCCAATATGGCGATGATGTTTCCTATGAGAGAGAGAGAGAGAGAGAGAGAGAGGAGAGAGAGGGAGAGAGAGGAGAGGAGAGAGAGAGAGAGAGAGAGAGAGAGAGAGAGAGAGAGAGAGGAGAGAGAGAGAGAGAGATATCTTTAATCACGACCCATAACCATGCCTAAATATCCCCTTTAACATACAAACAAACATCATTCTCCAACACAAACACCAAAAATAAATAAAAAAAACACAAATAAACACCGATGTTTACCTCCTAGAACACAAAAAAAAACACCTGATTGAAACACGTCAAGATTCTTCGCTACCAGATGACCGATAACTGCACTTGCTTTCCCTCGTTCCTAAGGACCTCACTAGCTTGATTCCTAACCTAACCCAACCTAACCTAACCTAGCCTAACCCAACCCAACCCAACCTAACCTAACCTAACCCAACCTAACCCAACCTAACCTAACCTAACCCAACCTAACCCAACCTAACCTAACCTAACCTAACCTAACCTAACCTAACCTAACCTAACCTAATCTAACCTAACCCAGTGACCTTAAACCCAACTTTTTATCAATATTCTCACCTTGACCTTTGACCTACTGACCCCATAACTCACTATCTCCAAGACGTTGTGACAGACAGACAGACAGATAGATAGATAGATAGATAGATGCCACCGGTGTCGTTGTCAGGCTAAATAATAATAATAATAATACAAAAAATATATAATAAATGGTTAAGGAAGGATTGAATAAGTATGGATAGAGGTGGATAGATGGATTGACAAACGTGAAGTGGCTGTTATGACTTACCTGGATAGTTTGGTTAGCATCGGTTCATTGATTATGATATTTAGCGGTGATTGGTGGATAGGAAGGAGACTCGAATGGTGATTGGTGGATAGTAAAGAGGAAATGACCGGTGATTGGTGGATAAGATTCTGAAAAACACGATGATTGGTGAAGAGGAAAGAGATATGAACGGTGATTGGTAGAGAGAAAGAAAATACGAACGATGATTGGTAGAGAGAAAGAAAATACGAACGATGATTGGTAAATAAAATAATGAAAAATATGGTGATTAAAGGTGGAGAGAGAGAGAGAGAGAGAGAGAGAGAGAGAGAGAGAGAGAGAGAGAGAGAGAGAGAGAGAGAGATTTTACATGAAGAAAAAATATGGAAAAAAAAAAAAAAAATCACCAAAAACTGATACATTATAACAAATTAAATTATTATATAAGATAATTCAACCTATAGAAGAGATGATATATATATAGAGGAACAATATAGCAGTATATACATAGGCATAGTGTACAGTGAGACAGGTGATAGCACAGAATTGAGGTGGCAGCGAGACATTTTTATTCACTTTAAATAATTTTGGCCCCTTAGAGGTCAACAGAGGTCAATAAAGGTCACATCCTGAAAGAAAGGTTATTGAGGAAGGCATAACCAACCTCATGGCGTAATAATAATAACGAGAAAAAAAAAATCATGCATCATTCGCGGTTAACTCACAACTACTATGGGTTAATGCCCCAGTCATGCGTCAGGCACGGTTAATGCCCTGTTGAGTTTAACCCATGCGCCATGCACCACCAACACAGGACACTACAGTAGCTATAGCCTATGGGGGTGATGGAGAGTCGATCACTCACTAACAGATGCGATCGATCACTTGTTTTGAGCGGAATGAGGGAGTGATGTGAGGTGAGAACACAACACGGGGGTGAGGGGGGAGAGGGGGGAGGGGGGAGTATTTTGCCAGGAGGAACGCTGAAAGAAAGGGGGAAGTGGGAAGGGGGGGATGGGGGAGGAGGGAATGAGATACCTAATCGGAGTTTAAGCGACCTGTTTCTATACAGAGAATTGACCGCCGCTTGAAATTCAGGGGAGACTTGAAGAAAAAAATCGACCTAACCTCATATTACCAAGTAATCTATAATCACCTTAAATAATTAATCGATAAATAAGGATAATAAACAATAACGAACATACAGATAATAGGGAAATACAAGAATTGCGAAAGAATTTAGGAAATTTAAATAATGATAAAAATCTAAAAAAAAAATCGATTTTCTTTCTGGGGGGAAACTGAAATATTTTGAGGTCTACTAATAAGTGTGAGAAGACATGCCGTTAAGTGCTCATGTGAACTTAAGTGCACTGACATGTGAAATAAAGTGTGATGCTGTTAACACAAACTGTACACGACTTACTGGGTTACTGAATTGAGTGAGACTATTTAATGATTACATACGATTAACGGCACTAATTATTACCCGATCATACATACGATATTACTGAACACAGGTAACTAATTAATCGGACGAAACAACCAACACCTAAGCTAAGTGTTCTCAGCTGAAGCTACGTCGTAATTTTAACTGAAACTACATTCGTTTCAGCTTCAGTACAGCTAAAAGCTATCGACAGTTACGTTTATGAGTGGTGGTGACAGAGATATAGACAACCTCGCTACATTAACACTGGACAGGTGTAGGTCAGGATAGGTCAACCTCTGACGTCATATCAAGTGTCATTTGAGGTCAATGGAAGGTTAAAATCGACATTCTTGATATAGAAAGGTTGAATAAAGAAAAAAATGCAATATATATACACTGAAAAAGTCTAATATATCGAAATTTAATTATTTACAAAAAACTAAATCTAATCAAAGGAAGAATAATTTACAGATTACTTAAAAAAATCACTAAAAATCGATATTTAAAGAAGAGAACGAATTAAATGCTTTAGGCCAAGAAATTCAGTGTCGAATTGTCTCCAAACCAATTTTTTTTTTAATTTATTATAAAAATCGATGAAAATTCTCTAAATAAAACCAATGTGACTTAAGTTTCCTCAATAGCAAGATGACTCCATCTTATATACAATGAAAACAACAAAAATATATGAAAAAGCATAAAAAAAAATCACCAAAAAATAAAATTCCTAAGATTCTATATTATATAAAAGCCGCAATATTTACAATGCAATATGAAAAAGCATAACAGACAAAACCGCAAACAACTATTTTATTTATAGTTTTACACTAAATCCGTCATATCCACAACGTAAACAAAATAAGAAAATGCTTAAAAACAAATTACAAAATAAAACAAATCTTATCATCTTCTTAAAAATAACACCGTGACGTCACATCCACAAAGTCGAAAAAAAAAACCAAAAAAAGCATCGGACAAAAGATCGCTTAAGGAACGTTTATATTCAACACCATCGTAAAAAAAAAGGGAAATAAATCACCAAGTCAGAACGAACCTGAATAAAAAAACAATAAAAACCAAGACCTTTTTAAAACCACGAGTCAAAGGTAATTATTGACCAGGCAAAGAAGAGGGGCAGAGGTCTTAGGGAGATATAAAGAACAACAAAGAAACAAATAAACAAGACCACAGACAAATGCCAACATGACACAGAACTAAACAGACAGACACAGACATACAACCTTGGGTTAATAGGAGCTGGTCTCGTAAGGTCTAATATCTGGTGTATTTGGGATTAATTTTGACCCCTAGTGATATATTTTTAGCGTGTTCTTGCCTAGCCTGGAGGAGATAGATAGATAGATAGATAGATAGATAGATAGATAGATAGATAGATAGATAGATAGATAGATAGATAGATAGATAGATAGATAGATAGATAGATAGATAGATAGATAGATAGATAGATAGATAGATTTACAGAAAAAATCAGAGAACATTCAAAGGAACTAGAGAGAAATGGAGAATAATTCATGAAAGAAAGAAAGAAAGAAAGAAAGTAAGTAAGAAAGAAAGAAAGTAGAAGCCAGGGAAAATGATATAGTTACCCAATAAAAAAGAAAAAACCCGAAAGAAAACGGAACAAGGTTGAGATGCCAGGGGTAACTTGGCCAATTAACCCAAAATAATCTCACAGAAAACGGGAGGAGGTACTAAAGATGGGTAACACTTTAGTTAAATGAGTCAAAATAAAGCCTCACAGAAAACGGAACTTGATACAGATATTAGGAAGTAATTCACCCAAACGAACCAAAAATAATCGTAAAGAAAATGGAGGGCGGTAGTTATTTCAGGAGATACTTAGCTAAAACGTTTAGAGCCAATAAACTGCACAGAAAGTGGAGGGCGGCAGTTATTGAAGGAATTAACTATGCAAACTTCCTGAGCTAATATAATGCATAGAAAACGGAGGAATGTAAAGTCCTTAGCTTATAGAATGGAAGGAAAACGGAGGGATATACTAATTGAAGGGGTAACTTAACCAAAACGTCCAGAGTCAATATAATGCATAGAAAACGGAGGTATGTAACGTCCTTAGCTAATAAAATGCAAAGAAAAGAGAGGAATATCATAATTGAAGGGGGTTAACTTAGCTAAATGACTATAAATGCCTCCCAGTGCTGTGATAATTTCCCCCTTAGACACAGCTGATGTTGGCGAATTAGTAAAAACTACACTGGGAAATTATATATATCAAGTAATTTAAAAAGGCAATAATTAGCCTATAATTCATGAAGTAACTGCCAGCTAGAATAGGCTCATCTACCTATAATTGTTGTAGTTAGCTGGGAATGGTTCTCTGCAGGGCTCTTATAGTTAATGGTATAATATCGTGTTTTTTCTATAATTTCATTTTAGATTATATTAATTTTGCAGTTTTTTTTCTATGATAATATTTTTTGATGCTATTTATAATATGTTTATTTCATCTTATAAATTAAAACCTGTTCAAGATACGCAATATTAATTAAAACAATATACAAGTACCCCATAAAAGAAAATGACTTCATAGAAAACGGGGACGATAGAGGATACAGGGGTAACTTTAATAAATTTACTGTGACGTGAATAATAATGATGGTTGCAGATTCACACTTGAACACATGTAACTTAATCCACAGTGTGTCTATAGTGGGTAAATATGGCGTTGAATTCGTAACGAACCTAGAGTAAACAAATACATTATTTTATCGTAAGTCTAATGAAAATCAATTTACGATTATTTTGGGGTAATTTGGCGTGGCTAAATATGGATGACGAATAGGTAACAAACTGAATAGGAAAGGATAGTTAATAGAAGATTTGTAAAAAAAAACACACTAGCTTAAGTTCCCCCTCGATTAAACCTCAACAGAAAACGGAGCTGAATCATCAATAGAAAACGTAACTTACCCAAACAAAAGATATAACTAAACCCTTTAAATAAAATAAAATGCAATACAAAAATAGGAAAAAAATTCCCCACCTTAAAAAAAAAGGCGAAACTAAACATTAAAAACTAAGTTCACTCTAAAAAAAAAATAAATAAAAGAAAACGGGTCTGCATTATAGAAAACCCCCAAGCGATTCAGGGAAAACTAAACCAATTTTACACACTTAGGACGGAACCAGCACCCTATTTGACACCAGGCTCTCAGTTCCTTGCCTTGTTCTCATACTTACAATAAACTGGACACAGGAAGATGAATTGAAGGAGAATGAGGAGGAATGATGAACGTGAATACCAAACAAACACACGGACGATGGAGATATTGTCGGTACACACGATCATGGTGAGAGAGGAGCACATAAGATCTAGTTCATCATCAAATTAATATTATTGTTAATTATCTTCTTTGCTGTGTGTGTGTGTGTGTGTGGTGTGTGTGTGTGTGGTGTGTGTGTGTGTGTGTTTACTTTTATTAATAAGGGTTGGGCGGGTTAGGAAAGGGTGATGGAAGATTAATTATATGGACGAAATTGAGTTGTATTCCCACAATGTCCAAAATTATGGATTATTTCACTACAATAATAATAATAATAATAATAATAATAATAATAATAATAATAATAATAATAATAACAGCCATCATTATCATTGTCATTATAATTTTCATTTCTCCAATAACATCAACTAAATTATCTCACTATTTAAAGTAATTACTCTATTCTTTTAATAATTCTTAGTTAACAGATAAAAGAAGAATATAGTGAAACCTCTATTTAACGCACAATGTGGATGAAAAAGTCCGTTATATCGAGGATCCATTCCTTGAAACCCTCCATTTAACGGACTATATGGCTAGAGAAGTCCGTTATATGGAGGGACTGTCATAAAGAGACACAAATCATAACACAGGATGCGCCATCTTTGGGACTGTGACGTCATCTGTGGTGTCAGGCTGAGAGGGTGCTGTCAGTCTGAGTGGGTGCTGTCAGTCTGAGTGGGTGCTGTCAGTCTGAGTGGGTGCTGTCAGTCTGAGTGGGTGCTGTCAGTCTGAGTGGGTGCTGTCAGTCTGAGAGGGTGTTGTCAGTCTGAGAGGGCTGTCAGTCTGAGAGTGCTGTCTGAGAGGGTGCTGTCAGTCTGAGAGGGTGCTGTCTGAGAGGGTGCTGTCATTCTGAGAGGGTGCTGTCAGTCTGGAGAGGTGCTGTCAGTCTGAGAGGGTGCTGTCAGTCTGAGGAGGGTGCTGTCAGTCTGAGAGGGTGCTGTCAGTCTGAGAGCTGTCAGTCTGAGAGGGTGCTCAGTCTGAGAGGGTGCTGTCAGTCTGTCGGTCTGAGGAGTGGGTGCTGTCAGTCTGAGAGTCTGAGAGGGAGTCAGTCTGAGAGGGTGCTGTCAGTCTGAGAGGGTGCTGTCAGTCTGAGAGGTGCTGTCAGTCTGAGAGGGTGCTGGTCTGCTGTCTGAGAGGGTGTCTGAGAGGGTGCTGTCAGTCTGAGAGGGTGCTGTCAATCTGAGAGGGGTCAGTCTGAGAGGGTGCTGTCAGTCTGTCATTCTCATGGGTTGAAGTCAGACACCAACAGACCGCCACGTAGGTGGGGGCGAAGGGGGGGGGGAGGGGGGGACAGGGGGAGAGGGGGAGGCATAGGGGGGGGGCATAAGGGAGGAGGGGCAGATGGGGAGGGGAGGGGAGGGGGCGACACGTAGCAGCCAAATGGGAAGGAAAAATAAATAAATAAATAACAATAACAACAACAATAAAGAAAACATGAAACATTTATATACCAACAATATTATTAGAAAATATTTATCTGATTAGCCACAAGACAGACATTAAATTGCTTTATTAACCATTCTGCGAAGAGTATAATAATAATAATAATAATAATAATAATAATAATAATAATAATAATAATAATAATAATAAAATAAATTTGTCTACAAGAGCCTAAAATTTATTCTCTTCTCTAATAAGCTAAAAAAAATCCTCAGATGCGATAAAATTCAGGAGAATAAATTTATATATTGGAATATATTTTAGATCAAGTAGAATAAATTTGTGGGTAGAACAGAATAAATTTTTAATAGAATATTGAGTTTCTATTTAAATGTAATATTATATGATTGTATTGTTGTATTTAGTATATAAGTATTAATAAAGCATTGATTTATATACAATACTGTATCTAATCAACACAGGTAACAATAAATTCCCATAATACAACACATAATTAAAAATCAACACAATACAATAATACAACGCCAATTAACCTGAATATTATCACCTAAATACCATATTACACACCTGGATAATTAATCAAAAATAATAATTAATTAAAAAAGGACACACTATGAGCTGCCATTATTGCATGCATTATCTGCAACACAAACACGGACACCAAACTGCGTACCACTGAAGAAGCCTTGGGTAAATAATAATTTTTTTTAAGATCTGGAGCTAAGAGGTACACATGCTCTGTAAACGGGAGTTAGTGGTAGTGGTGAGACGGGTATATCCGGCCTGGGATATATCCGGCCTGAGGTATATCCGGCCTGAGGTATATCCGGCCTGAGGTATATCCGGCCTGAGGTATATCCGGCCTTGGGTATATCCGGTCTTGGGTATATCCGGCCTTACAGGTATATCCGGCCTTACAGGTATATCCGGCCTTACAGGTATATCCGGCCTTAGACAGGTATATCCAGCCTTAGGTATATCTGGCCTTAGACAAATATAATCTGTCCTTAGACGGGTATTTTCGACCTTAGACAGGTATATCTGGCCTTAGACAGGTATATCTGGCCTTAGACAGGTAAAACTAACTCAAAACACACACACACACACACACACACACACTGAATATAAACCCACACGTAAAAATCCCATTAAAACATAAAAAAAAACCACTAGCTTAAAACACTACATAAATCACGTCAACAAGAGATAGAACTTGTACCTTGAGAACCTGCAGCATGGGAAGACACGAGAAAAAAAACAACATTAATATACAAAGACATACATAGACCCTGTAACAGTGACGTATGCAAGACTCCAGTGACGTATGCAAGACTCCAGTGACGTATGCAAGACTCCAGTGACGTATGCAAGACTCCAGTGACGTAAGCAATATGCCATTTACATTCGATAAAGACATAATTTCTACATATTATGACTTACACAATTTACAAGCATATCTTTTATTACTCCTATACCATAGAAATTAATACTAATTCTCAAAGTAGTATTTTTTTTTACATTGTTACGAGGTCTGTCAATAATGCATATGGATACGAACTCCAAAAATATATATATCTCATAGTATGTATATTAATGTATTATATTCGTATTCCAGAAATATTAAGGTTGTTTTAAGTAATGCTAAATGTTAAAACAACTATAATATGGTTTAATTATTAAGTAGAGTAATTATGGATAAACCAACAGTATTTTGTGACGTAATAATAATAATGTCAGTATAATCGACCACAAGAAGAGTAAGTGAAACGTGGCACCATATCACAGTAGACTTTATTATATTATATTGATCAGTTTTAACTCATATACTGTTGTTTATCCAGAAAATACTCGTTAAAAATAAACCAATTTCGAACGCTCATTAAGCTACGGCCAATTTCAGCGTTCATAGCAACCAGTGTGCAATTCATGGACGCTGATTGGCTGCTGGTTGCCAAGTGAATCCCCTCAGACTCACCAAAACAAAACAACAACCAATTTGCTTAAGATGACCATTTAACAGTTAATCTTCCTTTAATTTTTTTGAGATTACTGAGGAAATTAAGTCCATGAATTGTAGAGGTTGCTGAGGATGCCAAGAGTGAACTAAGCACGTAAGGCAAAGGTAATTCGTACTCACCAGCTCAGAGACGAGAGGTATAGACTTCCTCCTGGGTCGAATATCAGGCATACTGTCAATGTTGCTGTAGAAGGGGTTATCGCCCGGCCTACAGAGAGAACAGAGAGAGGCACAGGTTACTCCTCAGGCACTCCTGCTCTCACCCATGCTTGGAAAAAACATAACAAATAAACTTCTTTTTTTTTGTCTAATCTATAAAACCTTTTTTTTTAACTGGTGACGAAATAAAACATGCCTATTATAATATTTTTTTGCTGAAATGTACATAATATTTTTTGTTTGTTGAAAAATCAAACCGATAAATCTTTTTTTTTTATGATAAATTCAGCAGCTTAAAACTGACTATAAAACAATATTGAAGCTGTGATAAATTAGAACATAACCGTGCATGTGAGTATTGAGCTGCCTTGACAGTTAGGCCTCTTGTCGTGGAGAGTTTTGTGGGCATAAGGAACAAGGGTACAGTACAGCACTAATAAGTCCACGGGGTACACAAGCGGTTTTTATCAATACACACTATTTAATTATTTAAAAAAAAAAAAAAAAAAATCAACAAATATCACAGAAAAAAAAAATTAGTTTAAATATCGTTACTATACACCAGACTACATGAAACATTAAACTCTTCCTGTAGTGTGAGGTTAGGACACAGCACACCATCACTGTGTCTTCTTTACAACAACAATCATGTGTTGTGACTTAGACTAGGAACAACTATGTGCTGATGACAGAGAAACACACACGAGAGTTGTCCAAAAGGTAGAACACACCAGAATACACGTGTAGGGTGTCGTAACCTCACAACACAGGGAGTAGTTGGGATTGTTTGGCCGTAGCGAACATGGGATAAACTCTTTGCTAAAATCTGTCTACAGGAAGGAATCAGTCTTGGCCAAAATAACTGTCCCATTGGTTTTGGCAGACATGATAACAACAGCCGGAAGCCTTTCACGCTAATGAGGCCAAGACATGATAACAACAGCCGGAAGCCTTTCACGCTAATGAGGCAAAACTAGGTGTGGGCTGGTCTGGTCTGGGCTGGTCTGGGCTGGGCTGGGCTGGGCTCTCCCTGTTCACCTAATGTAGCAACTGTGAGCTCTGTACTGTATGTCTGTAGTTCCTTAATGAGTAGTCCTCCGCTGATGCCGATGTGGTCCAAACAGCTTCTGGGGCTACTGGCATCACTTCAAAACTTCACTTTATATGCGAACCTGTTTACTTAATCCTCTAAAAACACACACACACACACACACACACACACACAGAGAAAGGTCAAATCTCTCCCAGATGACCTCTCAATATATGACCTTTGCTCTAGTTGAAGGTCAAACACACCCATTCCTAAGAGCCCCCCTCCTTCCTCCCACTATAGCCTAACCTAACCAAAATTTCCAAAGTTCAGTTAGGTTAAGGTTTTCAGGGGAGGAAGAGGGGAATATGACAGTTCACTCGTTTGAACTTTTAACTCTTTTAAGATCAAAAGGTCATTTCAGGTCACATCACTACGTCATAACTTGTGTGTAAATGAGGCTTCACACGATTACCTTGGCCTGACCTGACTTGATCTGACCTGACCTAGGACCTCGACACTTACCCCACAAGTATTCCAAATAGTTCTATGTACTCAGGGGATCCTACAAATGTGCTAATATATTATAACTGTACTCAATCTACAAATTCCCACAAATGTACTCCTTAAAACTGTACTCAATCTACGAATTTCCACATATGTACTCCTTAAAACTGTACTCAATCTACGGGTTCCCACAAATGTACTCCTTAAAACTGTACTCAATCTACGGGTTCCCACAAATGTACTACTTAAAACTGTACTCAATCTACTAATACCCACACTGTACTTGATCTGAGTCCCTACAAAAGTACTTCCTTCCTACAATGTACTAATTCCATCGACCGCCAAAAGAGTACTAATCTACTAGAAAGCAATGATGACTTTACTATGTACACTTTACAAGATGACACCGCAATCACGCAAGTACTCAAATTACCCCCAAAATGGCGTCAAAATTACACCAAGACTCTAATATAACCAGTATCAATAAGAGACAAAAATTACCTCAATCACCAACCTTAGGAAAGTACATCAATCACCAGCCTAAAGACAGTACTTCAATCACCAAGTTTAAGAAAGTACCGCAATCACCAAGTTTAAGACAGTACCGCAATCACCATTCTTATGTTAAACCCTGGTAATAAAACGGGTTTAAGTTTAGCGTGGCGACGTGGTTTAACAGTGGATGAAAAAATGATGATTAAACCTGAGTAAACAGACAGACAGACAGACAGACAGACACAGACACACAGACAGACACAGACAGACAGACACAGACAGACAGACAGACATGACATGACCACAATACACAAGGAAACGCAATTCTAACTCTGAACTTAGACAAGAGACATGTAACTTATTGATCGACAGACAGACAGACAGACAGACAGACAGACACACAATCTCCCACGCCCACATAAACCCCCACCACCCCCACTACCACGCCCACATAACACAACATAGAAAACAACATGACAAATAAGAGCTCCCCTTAACACGTAATACCTTGATAACACAGTTGGCAACACTATCTTTGTTTTGATGTGTGTGTGTGTGTGTGTGTGTGTGTGTGTGTGTGTGTGTGTGTGTGTGTGTGTGTGGTCTTATCGTGGCGTCTCTATTAAGCTGTAAGACGTGTTTATTCGGCACGTCTTACTCCAGGTATGAAATTTGCATCCCAATTATGTTCATTTGTCACCTAAATATGTGGGGTGTCTTCAGCCGAGCTGATTCTCTCCTGGTTATTACAGAGTGTGTGTGTGTGTGTGTGTGGTCGATTGCCTCATAAATAATGGTTATATTAGCGATCCACCGGGGCAAACAGCGAGCGACCCTTCCCTTCCTCCCTTCCTTCCTCTCCCTTCCCTACCCTTCCTTTACCTCCCTTCCTCTTCCTTTACCTTCCCCTCTTCCTTTCCCTTCCCTTCCTCTCCCTTCCCTACCCTTCCTCCCTTCCCTACCCTCCCTCCCCTCCCTTCCCTACTCCCCTTCCTCCCTCCCCCAACCTTCCCTCTTCCTTCCCTACCCTACCCTTCCCTTCCCTACCCTTCCCCTCCCTCCCACTCTCCTTCCCCATGTATTTACTCAAAAGTCCCTGCATTAATAATTCCCACTGAAAAATATGTTGCAATTTTATACACGTTGCGGCGACAGATGACCAAAGAGGGGCTAGTACTGAGAGAGGTCGTATCTCAACGACTCCTCTTGGCAGGGGTCGTACGTAAGGCTGTCAGGATTAGTAATTGGAAGTAATATCATGGCACTGCTAAGACTCTCGTGGCATTTATTCCAGGAGGTAGTGGCACTGTGATCTATCATCGTAGCACTCTTGATGACTCACAAGGTGCCAGAATACTATCACACTGACTCATAAGTGCCTGAAGATGCCATGACACACTGACACAGCCTTCTGACTCACAAACAACACACTGCTGACTCAAAGTGCCATGACAGTGCCAGCTGACTCAAGAGGAAGAGGAGGAGAGGAGGGAAGAGGACGAGGTCTCTCTCAGTATCTCCAGCTGAGAGACAGACACTCAGAAGGTCTCAAAAATTGACTCCCACACCTGAGGCTTCTGACAGACAGATCGATAAGCAGGACAAATGGTGCCAGTCTTGTGGTGACATTGTGCCAGATGTGTGTGATGGCTCCTTCCCTGTGATGGCTCCTTCCCTACCCACCCTGTGATGGCTCCTTCCCTCCCCACCCTGTGATGGCTCCTTCCCTCCCCACCCTGTGATGGCTCCTTCCCTCCCCACCCTGTGATGGCTCCTTCCCTCCCCACCCTGTGATGGCTCCTTCCCTGTGATGGCTCCTTCCCTCCCCACCCTGTGATGGCTCCTTCCCTCCCCACCCTGTGATGGCTCCTTCCCTCCCCACCCTGTGATGGCTCCTTCCCTCCCCACCCTGTGATGGCTCCTTCCCTCCCACCCTGTGATGGCTCCTTCCCTCCCCACCCTGTGATGGCTCCTTCCCTCCCCACCCTGTGATGGCTCCTTCCCTCCCCACCCTGTGATGGCTCCTTCCCTCCCCACCCATGATGGCTCCTTCCCTGTGATGGCTCCTTCCCCTCCCCACCCCACCTCTCATCATCATCATCATCTACACTCCTTGACATTTACCTCCCCATTTAGACCTCCTCCCCATCTACGTATCCTCCCCAAATCATCTCCTCCCATCGACAAATTCTTCCTAAAAACCCCACCTACACCTCCCTCTCCACCCACACCCCCTCCTCCCCCACCCACACCTCCCCACTCCCCACACCTCACCTACACCTCCACCCCACCTACACCTCCACCCCACCCTCCACCTCACTCTCCACCTACACCTCCCTCCCCACCCACACCCCCCCACCCACACCTCCACCCCACCCACACCTCCCTCCCCACCCACACCCTCCCCACCCACACCTCCTCCCCAGCCACACCCTCCCCACCCAAACCTCCCTCCCCCACCTCCACCCCACCCACACCCTCCCCACCCACACCTCCCCACCCCACACCTCCTCCCACCCACACCTCCTCCCCCACCCCACACCTCCCCACCCACACCCTCCTCCCCACCCTCCCCACCCACACCTCCTCCCCACCCACACCTCCTCCCCACCCACACCTCCCCTCCCCACCCACACCTCCCTCCCCACCCACACCTCCTCCCTCACCCACACCTCCTCACCCACACCCCTCCACCCACACCCTCCCCCACCCACACCCTCCCTCCCCACCCACACCTCCTCCCCACCCACACCTCCTCCCCACCCACACCCTCCCCCACCCACCTCCACCCACACCTCCTCCCCACCCACACCCCCCTCCTCCACCCACACCCCCTTCCACCCACACCTCCCCACCCACACCTCCCTCCCCCACCCACACCTCCTCCCCACCCACACCTCCTCCCCACCCACACCCTCCCCACCCACACCTCCTCCCCACACACCTCCCTCCCACCCACACCTCCTCCCCCACCCACACCTCCTTCCACCTACACCTCCTCTCCACTCACACACCACCTCCCCACTCCACCTCCTTCCCCACCCACCTCCCCTCCCCACCACACCATCTCTCTCCCCACCTCATCTCCTCCTCTACCCACATCTCCTCCCCTAAATACCCTACCAAACTGGTACAGTTCTCCCCTCCCCATCATAATACCCCATCTCAAATCCCCCCTCCCGCCCCCAAACGAACACCTCTGGCTTCACCCCCACCCTACAGACAGACAGACAGACACAGACAGACAGACACAGACAGACAGACAGACAGACAGACAGACAGACAGAGACACATACAGACAGACAGACAGAGACAGACAGACAGACAGACAGACAGACAGACAGACAGAGACAGACAGACAGACAGACAGACAGACAGACAGACACCCACTAACTTCAAGAAATCATTAATACACATTGGCTTTCCTCTCTGACTTCATATATTGACTTCATCAGCTGACGTCAAAGGAATATTATCTATCGTATCTATTCTGGAAGCCTTTGATGTCGTAAAGGTTACCTGTAGCCTTACCTGGGTGGTAATTAAGTCTTTAGTGAATAATGATGATGATTCAGGTAGTTGTTATAGTGGTAATAATAATAATAATAATAATAATAATAATAATAATAATAATAATAATAATAATAATAATAATAATAATAATAATAATAATCACACAATATACCAACGTTATTTAAGACTCTCTCTCTCTCTCTCTCTCTCTCTGCAACACCTCATCAGCCTACATGACCTGACCTTACAAGCCACATCTGGGGTCATTACAGCCAGACAGGTCAATCTGTCTCCCAAATTACTACTAGGTGTACCTGTCTCTACCTGTACTAAATTAATGACTAATTTACAGGTGAGATATGTGGGTGGATTATACTTTCTCTCTCTCTCCGTCTCTCTCTCTCTCTCTCATCAACCAAACAAAGTAAATCCATCTTACGATCTCTCGAGCATCCATCTTTATCCACACCACACAATCCATACATCTTGAATCCGTCCCAATCCACAATCCAATTTATACCAATCACAGAGAGAGAGAGAGAGAGAGAGAGAGAGAGAGAGAGAGAGAGAGAGAGAGTGTGATATACTACCAATAGACAAAAGGGGAGCGTTCTTTGTGCCCTTCTCCCCCTGACACTAGAGACGAAACTCACATCCTTTAGGGTTGAGACTTTCACCCTTACTGAAGACCAAGATGAGGGAAGAAATTGCGTTAAGATTTATGGAGATGGATCGTGGCTGAGTTGACGTCTGGAAGTGTGTGGGGATCTGTGGGGGATGTGTGTGGGGGTGTGTGGGGGATGTGTGGGGGGGTGTGTGGGGGTGTCAAGTCTCGGTACAATTTCATCGCCATTCTCGCACTAAAACAAGACACAGACACGAATTTCCTGATCATAACGACAGGTGATAAATGACAAACTATTCTGGTCAATATTTCATCTGTGACACAACACAAACACGGTTAAAGGTCTGAGTGCCACCCTCTGTGTTAAGGTCATAGGTTAGTGCCACCCTCTGTGTTAAGGTCATAGGTTAGTGCCACCCTCTGTGTTAAGGTCATAGGTTAGTGCCACCCTCTGTGTTAAGGTCATAGGTTAGTGCCACCCTCTGTGTTAAGGTCATAGGTTAGTGCCACTGCTGTGTAAGGTCATAACTCAGTGCCACCCTCTGTGTTGAGGTCATAGGTTAGTGCCACTGCTGTGTAAGGTCATAACTCAGTGCCACCCTCTGTGTTAAGGTCATAGGTTAGTGCCACTGCTGTGTAAGGTCATAACTCAGTGCCACCCTCTGTGTTAAGGTCATAACTCAGTGCCACCGTCTGTGTTAAGGTCATAGGTTAGTGCCACTGCTGTGTAAGGTCATAACTCAGTGTCACCCTCTGTGTTAAGGTCATAGGTTAGTGCCACTGCTGTGTAAGGTCATAACTCAGTGCCACCCTCTGTGTTTGGGTCATAGGTTAGTGCCACTGCTGTGTAAGGTCATAACTCAGTGCCACCCTCTGTGTTAAGGTCATAGGTTAGTGCCACTGCCGTGTAAGGTCATAACTCAGTACCACCCTCTGTGTTTGGGTCATAGGTTAGTGCCACTGCTGTGTAAGGTCATAAGTCGGTGCCATTGGTGTGTAAGGTCAGACGTCAGAGTCACTTCTGTGTATGGTAAGAGTGCTACCCGTGCATAAGGTCAGAGGTCATGTGCTGGGTAGATTCATTAGGTCGAGAGGTCACGTTTAGAGTGATAATTACCTATATAAGGTGTAGGTCAAATGTAAATATCTAACCCATAAGGTCACGTCAGGGTCAAGAGGTCAGGTCAGAGGTCACGAACATTTTAGGTCAAGAGGTTGGAGGTCAAAATACACCTTATCTTTGCTTTTCCTCTTTATTACTTTATTTCTTATTCACCTGTTAATTACCACCAGGTAAGTAATTACGGTGAATAACTTCCCTTTGTAATTATCAAATCACCTGGAGGAAGATAATCGGAACACCTGTGGGATTATTGCTGCTGTAATTACACCATAATAACAATAATCGCTAGGGAATTAATTTTGTCTAAGATATAATGCGATTAATAATTATTCCGCCGTGTCAATAATTTCAAAACTAAACCAATGAATTATATTTCCAGCTGTCAGACAATAACGAATTATAACCCGTAATAATCTTGATAATCGCTGTAATAATCATAACATTTAGACAAACTAACGTACATAGAATTATTTTTCACTCGATTATGGAACGGGAAAGTGAGACTGGGAATAACATTTGCAATAATCGTAGAAATAATTACAGCTATTGTCATTTAATTCCACTTAATTCGTCGGGTAATTCTTTTAAGGTAATTCAATAACCATTTAAGATCAATTATAGTATTATTATCCTTTAAATAATTACTTAGTTTAATTATACTTTAAATATTTTAAGGACCCTAAATTTACCTAATATTTAAGGGGTTAAAGTTGGTGTGTGTGTGTGTGTGTGTGTATGTGTGTGTGTGAATTAGTTTAAGTGTACATTGCTCGATCCTGTTCATTAATCCTAAAACACACACACTATCAACGTTTTCCTTACATACATACATACATACATACATACACACAAAATATTTTTCTATCTTGAATTTTCAATATAAAAATTATCTTTCTAGGACCTTAATAATACAAAGTACTCCCAATAATCACTAAAATCGAGAATTTTTTTAAAATATCACAAATTATGTGATTAATCATTAAAATAATCGCCTTTACGTCACTAAATTATCCCCAGTAGCTGCTATAATCAAGATTAATCTACAAGTGACAAATAATCTACCTATAATCGCTAAAATAATCACCTATGGCACTAAATTACCCCAAATAACTGCTATAATCTCAAGAATAATCCTCAAGTGTCCAATTACCTGCATATAATCACTTAAACAATCTTCACGTCACGAATTATCCCCCCAATAACTCATATAATCATGAATAATCCACAAGTGACAAATTATCTACCTATAATCACTATTTACTTTTTACTCTGAGTCGCTAAGTAGGAATTCCAATAGAAATTCCACCCCATCTTATGTGCCTGACATGTGAGAGGATAGGTACGTGTTAGTATAGTTTCCCCTTAACATATCATAGAAAACGGGCAGAAATATATATCTTCATAGAAAACGGGGGTTGTGGAGTGTGATAAATATCTTCATAGAAAATGGGATCTCCTTGTTAATTATCATGCATGACATAATTTAAATTTTCCTGATTAAAAATGAATGAAACATGACCTCTTTCCTTCCCAAGATGACAACTTCATTTTCCTGTCAAGTATGGACACGTGACATGGAGGGGGGGGGGTTTCCTTCTCTGGATGAATGACAAGATGAATGGCATATGACACCTCAATTCTCCTTGACAAGATGACTGACACGTGACATAAGACATATGACAATTTAATTTTCCCTGACAAGACGAATAACATAATTTTCCTTAACAATATAACTACCACATTGCTCAGTTATCCTCGACGAGATGAATACCACATGACAAAAAAATGACACATGGCAAATCAATTATCCTGTGACAATATAAAAATGACACATGACAGATCAATATTATATTCCTAGTACAATCGCCTTCACATACACCTAATACACAAGTTAGCACCTTCTGCGAGATGTGGCAATACTGTGTTTGTTTACATCATGTTAAAACTCCCTAAATGGCCCCCCTAAGGAACCTCGCAATAGTAGCCAGAATAGAATACTAGATAAACATTCCACAGTGGTGCCACATCTCACAAAACACACCACTCACTGTACCAGGTGTTAATGCAAGCAACTGTACATATACATAGACAAAACTCGGAAGATTGTGACGCTAAAGAGTACAGTTTTCTATAGTGAAAGTGGAGTCAAGGGAGAGTTTTTTTTTCTCGAAATCATTGGAGAAAGTTCACAGCTTTCAGAGTAGAAAGGGGGGGCATGGGAGACAGCTGTTCTAAGCGAGAGATAATTCTACTTTTGTTATACTCGTACTGTAAGCAAAGAGAGAGAGAGAGAGAGAGAGAGATTCGGTGGTGAGTTCTAATATACAATAAGCAACACCGCACAACCTTATACGAGAGAGAGAGAGAGAGAGAGAGAGAGAGAGAGAGAGATAAGAGACAAAAATAAACGTTAAACAGAGACAAGAGATAGAGAGATAAGCACCCAGAGATGATGCTAGTGGAACGAGAGAAAGCGAATGAGAGACAGTGAGTGAAAGAGAGCCAAAGAGAGTGAGAACAGAAGTGAGAGTGTGAGTGAAAAAAAGAGAGATTAGTAAAAGTAGAAAAACAAAAGAGAGAGAGAGAGAGAGAGAGAGAGAGAGAGAGAGTCGTCAACACCAGCGGGTCGTGTTGCCACCTACAAGTATATAACTAAACTGAGCGTGCCTTTGGTATAGCGTCTAAGCGAGCGAGAGTTAGCGATATTTTTTTTTTCTCTCCAGCAGCAGCAGCAGCAGCAGCAGCAGCAAACAACAACAACAACACGTAAAAAAATCGTCTGATCTCCAGCAATAACTTGGCTCAGACAGGTTGGGGGGGAGGAGGGGGGAGGGGAGGGGGGGTTTTTGAAGGGAGAGGGAGGGGAGGAGGGGGGGTTTATTGTTTACGTCAACACCAGTCAACACCACCAACAATGCCAGTTTATAATCTACACTGAACAAGCAGCCTTTCTACCATACCATACAACACCCGTTCTCCATCCCATATACGTGCAATGAGACTATTTTGACCCTTTCACTCCCATAACGAAATGTAAGTAAAGATTTTAATATTACTTTTTTTTTTCTTACATATTTTCCAAAGTTACAAGGGAAAGTTTGTTGTGATTCCTTATCTTACACTCGTGAGGTGAGAGATGAGGGGTGAGGAGAGAGGGGGGCTGGTAGTAGTGTCATTATCACGTACAGAGTTTGTTTGTGTATGTGTGTTTAGGAGAACGGAACAATAAACATATTTATGACCACGTACAAGTACTTTCCTCCACCCCTAGTTAGGTTAGGTTACGTGGGCTTCTTCGTTCGTGATCCGCTGTTAGTCCCTTTGTCGTTTAGGGGAGGGGAGGACGTGACCCCGTAAGGGCATGACCTCGTATGGATATGACACCGTAAAGACATGACCCCGCATGGACATGAACCCATTTTGACCCATGGTGAAGACGGCAATATGACCCCTTACGGGCAATAACATGACCCCCTTGATAACAGTGACATGACCCCCTTGATAACAGTGACATGACCCCCTTGATGACAGCAACAAGACCCCCTTGATAACAGTGACATGACCCCCTTGATGACAGTAACATAAGCCCCTTGAATACAGTGGCATAAATCCTTAAGGACAGTGACATGACCCCTTCCATCCAAAGATAATATAGTGACCTGATCTAACTCCGACATGACCTAACTCCTTTAGAAAGACAGAAGAGCGCCTAAAACGCCATGAAAAGTCTCAAAACGCATCAAAACATCTGGAAAACGCATTAAAACTACTTGAAAACGCATTAAACATCTTGAAAACGCACTAAAAACGCCTAAAGGTCTTCAAAACGTCTTGAAAACGAATTAAAACGCCCGAAAACGTCTTGAAATAACCAACATAACTCACTCCATAATGTAAACAAACGCCTTAATTTAATAATATATTCTAGGGTTCGTCTATGCAAATTTAAGGGCTAGAACGCACTTACACCCACTTATAAAAACACTTATAACATGTAAAGTGAACACAATACACTCTACTTACAATACCAGAGCCCGAGTTTTTTATTACTACTTAACACTAAAACACACACACTCCCTTTGGGTATATAGAGAGAATTAATTAGAAGTTAAATCATGAGTTTCTTCAATTAAAATAAACTGTCTTCACTTATTTTTTGTTACTTTAGGGCTTATTCGTGTTACTTTAGGGCTGTCTTCACTTATTTTTGTTACTTTAGGGCTTATTCGTGTTACTTTAGGGCTGTCTTCACTTATTTTTGTTACTTTAGGGCTGTCTTCACTATTTTTTCTTACTTTAGGGCTGTCTTCACTATTTTTGTTACTTTAGGGCTGTCTTCACTATTTTTGTTACTTTAGGGCTGTCTTCACTATTTTTGTTACTTTAGGGCTGTCTTCACTATTTTTGTTACTTTAGGGCTGTCTTCACTATTTTTTGTTACTTTAGGGCTGTCTTCACTATTTTTTGTTACTTTAGGGCTGTCTTCACTATTTTTTGTTACTTTAGGGCTGTTCCTCACTATTTTTTGTTACTTTAGGGTTGTCTTCACTATTTTTGTTACTTTAGGCTGTCCAATTATTTCGTTACTTTAGGCTGTCTTCAATTATTTTTGTTACTTTAGGCTGTCTTCACTATTTTTTGTTACTTTAGGCTGTCTTCACTATTTTTTGTTACTTTAGGCTGTCTTTCACTATTTTTTGTTACTTTAAGGTTGTCTTCTACTCATTTTTGTATACTTTTTAGGCTGTCTTCAATTATTTTTTGTTACTTTTCACTTATTTTGTCATACTTTAGAGCTGCCTTCACTTATTTTTGTTACTTTAGGGCTGTCTTCACATATTTTTGTTACTTTAGGGCTGTCTTCACGTATTTTTGTTACTTTAGGTCTGTCTTCACGTATTTTTGTTACTTTAGGGCTGTCTTCACTTATTTTTGTTACTTTAGGGCTGTCTTCACGTATTTTTGTTACTTTAGGGCTGTTTTCACGTATTTTTGTTACTTTAGGGCTGTTTTCACTTATTTTTGTTACTTTAGGGCTGTCTTCACGTATTTTTGTTACTTTAGGGCTGTCTTCACTTATTTTTGTTACTTTAGGGCTGTCTTCACGTATTTTTGTTACTTTAGGGCTGTCTTCATGTTACTTTAGGCTTGACTTCACTTATTTTGGAGGACCTGTAATTACTGTGGGAACTAATTTACATACATACGAACTATCTTAAGTTATTCAGTAAGTTTCCAGTTACTCAAGAGCTCTTATGAGTTACCGGTACTCAGAGGCCTTACGAATTGCCGGTACTCAAAGCCCTTGCAAATTATCGGTACTCCAGGCCTTACACTATATCGGTACTCAAAAGCCTTACAAGTTATCGGTACTCAAAAGCCTTACAAGTTATCGGTACTCAAAAGCCTTACAAGTTATCGGTACTCAAAAGCCTTACAAGTTATCGGTACTCAAAAGCCTTACAAGTTATCGATACTCAAAAGCCTTACAAGTTATCGGTACTCAAAAGCCTTACAAGTTATCGATACTCAAAAGCCTTACAAGTTATCGATACTCAAAAGCCTTACAAGTTATCGATACTCAAAAGCCTTACAAGTTATCGGTACTCAAAAGCCTTAGAAGTTATCGATACTCAAAAGCCTTACACGTTATCGATACTCAAAAGGCTTTACGAGTTATCGGTACTCAATGGCCTCGTGAGGTATCGGTACTCAAATGCCCTTACAAATTATCGGTACTCAAAGCCCTTACAAATTATCGGTACTCAATGGCCTTATGAGGTATCGGTACTCAAAAAGCCTTACACGTTATCGATACTCAAAAGGCTTTACGAGTTATCGGTACTCAATGGCCTCGTGAGGTATCGGTACTCAAATGCCCTTACAAATTATCGGTACTCAAAGCCCTTACAAATTATCGGTACTCAATGGCCTTATGAGGTATCGGTACTCAAATAAGTTATGCTATATTATTATGGGATGCTTAAAGTCATTTGAGTGACGGCAAAATGACCATATTATTCTTTGTATTTCATTCATATTTCTAATAAATAATTAATCTTTTTTATCAATTATAAATCCTATGTTAAAAAAAATATCCTCATTTAGTGATAAGAGTTAAGAATAATCGTAATTTAAAATGTTTATAAATTAAGAATAAAAATCATATACAAATGGGAATTATTTTTCACTTTTAAAAATTAGTAAATCTTGGTATATATGTTGGTTTCCTGGCCATAATCTACCATAGCCACACTACCATAGTAACACCACCAATAGCCACACTACCAATAGCCACACTAACATAGCCACACTAACATAGCCACACAAACGCTGCCTTCCGGATCACGTACGAGAAGCCCAGACCAAAGGGAGGGTGGAGTCTTAAAATAACTGGCCGGAATCAGGGCGTATTGTCGAAGCGTAGCCAGTGCTCAGTGAACTAGTCAACACGTACACGGCCTTGATAGGTAAGTACGGTCCGTGTTGGGAAGGGAGTAGGTGGGTGGCGGGAAACCTGGACCCTTGAGAATATGTAATTCGTAAGGTGGAGTATTAATTGCAACCAAATCTCCAAAGTGAAAATAATATAAATAACCGCAAACTACGTTATTTTATCTTCTATGACGTAAAAGTGAAAAGAAAACGGAGATGTAGAGGGAAAACTATCATATTTAATCTTCTATGACAGTAACTAGAGGCAATGAGATAATTTTAGAGGAGAAAACTAGAAAACCGATAAAACAAGAGAACAAGTTGACATTAACGAATAGAAAACGAGAGAGAAAAGAAAACGGGGTAAAGAGGTGTAAGGGAAATTAAATTATTCTTCTGTGAGGTGCTTAGAGTGTTTGAAGAAGAATATAAACACACACGATAACACGATAATGAAGGTTTCAACATAAATACAAACCACGAGAGAGAGAGAGAGAGAGAGAGAGAGAGACGTATATATGTGGAAATAACACCAGAAACGACTCACAAGATAAAGTATATGTCATCCTGGGAGAAAAAAAAACATAGGTTAATAATAAAAGAAGAAGATCAACAGATATAAAGATCAACTGTGGTATAAATAATGACACACTGAAGAGGTCATAGAAGACTCGTATGTTTGCGCGTCTACAGTAATCAATAAGCTACGTTACTTGTCAACAATGAACACAGGAACAAGTTCACACCAAGAGCCTTTACTGACAGCAGTCTGGGATTATTACAACTTGCGCCAGACGGGCCAGCGCCACAAGGGCCCGGTGCCACAAGGGCCCGGTGTCACAAGGGCCTGGTGTCACAAGGGCCTGGTGTCACAAGGGCCTGGTGTCACAAGGGCCTGGTGAAACAAGATCCTGGTGTCACAAGGGCCCGGTGCCACAAGGGCCTGGTGTCACAAGGGCCTGGTGTCACAAGATCCTGGTGTCACAAGGGCCCGGTGCCACAAGGGCCTGTTGTCACAAGGGCCTGGTGTCACAAGATCCTGGTGTTACAAGGGCCTGGTGTCACAAGGGCCTGGTGTCACAAGGGCCTGGTGCCACAAGGGCCTGGTGTTACAAGGGCCTGGGAGACACACAGGTACTTGGGTCACACGGGCCTGGCGTCACAAGAGCCTGGCATCACAAGGCGGAACAGGACGACAGGGGAGGAGGTGGTGGGGGTGGGACACCTTTCGTTACAAGGGCCTGGCGTCAAATAGGGATAAGAGATAAGGGAATGGAACAGGGGTAAGGGACAGAGGGAAGTACTCGTTACACTGGGGCTTGAGCTACGCTTCGTCAACCACCGAGCCTTAGTAATACCCACCTCGCCAAGATGACCCTTATGGGAACGTAGACAGTCATATAAGAGAACAAGAATAATAATAAAGGGGAAATTGTAAGAGAGACGAGAATAAATCCTGAAAAAACTAATGTAAGTAAAAAGACGGCGTTAAGAGAGAGACACACAGGCATATGTACAGCTGACTACTGGAATGGTGAGAGGATAAGACGGGGGGGGGTTGGTAGACGAGGGGAGGAGATGAGAAGACAGAAAGTGGAGACGGGGGAGAAGGACAGAGATGGAGGAGGAAAAAGGGGATGAAAAGGAGAAGAGAGAGGAGGAAAAGTAGGTACGGTAGGTAAAGAAGACAACAAATACAAGAGAGAAAGAGACATAACGATACTGGTAGAGGATGGAGAGGGGAAAAGAAGGAATCAGAGAGACAGGAAAGGGTGGATAAGACTCCGGGAGACAGGAGGGATATGGAATTCGAGGGAAGAAGGAAGAAGAATGGAAGGAAGGAAGGAAGGAAGGAAGGAAGGAAGGGATCAGAGTCATAACTGAAGTAGAGATTATATAAATAATACAAGTCATTAAATGGATGCAATAGACTGAAATATATACACATTTTATATACATTTATATATATATATGTAAATACTTCAAAAAATTCATATATATATATAAACATACATATGAACTACTATGGTACAAATATATATATACATACAAATTATTAATATATATATATACAATAATAAATAAAATCAAGCCACATTATAGGTCCACTGAGCCCTGTCTGGACAAAGAGGAGGGTCAAGATAATGCTATAAAATGATGGGAAAATAAGTGTCACAATCTAGTCTCTGTGAGCGTGGCTGTGGCCCTTCTGTCCCAAGGAGCACTTCGGGCCATTAACACTCGTGATCTGGCAGCTCTAGGGAGGGGCAGTAAGTGGCAGCTCTAGGGAGGGGCAGTAAGTGGCAGCTCTAGGGAGGGGCAGTAAGTGGCACCTCAGGAGGGCCAGCATCTGCCATGTGTGCCACCCTATGCCTGGGTCACTGTGCTGCTCTGTTGCTACGAGGTGCTAAGTAATGGTGCCTGTGTCACTTGAGGTATGTGTCCGGGGTGAGAGGTGTCCAGGATGAGATGTGTCCAGGATGAGATGTGTCCAGGATGAGATGTGTCCAGGATGAGATGTGTCCAGGCGAGATGTGTCCAGGTGAGATGTGTCCAAGTGAGATGTGTCCAGGTGAGATGTGTCTAAGGTGAGATGTGTCTAAGGTGAGATGTGTCCAGGTGAGATGTGTCTAAGGTTAGGATACTAGGCAGATATGTAACCAGGGTGAGATGTCCAGGGGTGAGATGTGTCCATAGAGAGACACATGAAGGCAACAGAGAGATGTGCTGGTGAGATGTGTGTCCTGGTCAGATGTGTCCAGGGGGTGAGATGTACAAGGTGATGTCCAAATATGCCCAGAGATGTATCCAGGAGATAAGTCTGAGAGATGTGTCAAGGTGGCAAGCCCAAGGAGGGGTCCAGGTGAGATGTGTCCAGGTGAGGTGTCCAGGTGAGATGGGGTCCAGGTGAGAGAGGCCAGGTGAGGTGTCCAGGTGAGATGTCAGGAACAGGAGATGTGTCCAGGTGAGGCCCAGGTGGAGATGTGTCCAGGCAGATGTCCAAGGTGAGTGTGTGTCCAAGGTGAGATGTGTCCAAGGTGAGATGTCTGTTAAAGAGATGTGTCCACAAGAGATGTCCATGTGAGATGTGTCCAAGGTGAGATGTTCAAGAGAGCGTAACCAAGGATGTCCACAGAATGTGTCCAAGTGAGATGTGTCCAGGATATTAATATGTATCCGGATGGTGGTAATTGTGGTACTTTGGATTGTGGTAGATGTAGACTAGTGTGTATGTGTGGTAGAAGAAATTAAATTGTGGTTGAATAACTTTAGTGTGTGAGAAAGTGAACAGAATTTGGTGGACTCAGACGATAGTAGTGGAAGATTAGCGTGTGTGTGTGTGTGTGTGTGTGTGGTAGAGGTAATTAGAGTGTGTGATAGAGGTAGTTTGGCTGTTTGGAATTAATAATAAACAAATACCAAAGTTAAAGACAGGTGTGTAATGACTTAATTAATAGCGGTTGTTGGGTTCAGGTTAATCACAGGTAAGGGGTGGTGTTTGTGTTGACCTATGACGTCACAAGGGAGGGTGGTGGTATATATCGGTTACCATGACTACCTATGTGATAAAAAATTAACATATTACAACTTATATAATAATGTTAATAATGTGTATAGATGTATATATATATATGTATAAATTTCAAGTTATTAATAAGTGTAATAATGCTATGTATATGTATAAAAGTGTATTAGTGAAAGATTATTTACAAGTGTATGCATTAGATTACACGTATGTATGAATATATATATATATACATAAATATATATATATACACATACATACATATATATATATATACACAAACTACCATGGTATCTTGCATGTATAACAAACCATATTTTTTATACATATATACAGTGCTGTCTGTATGAACGTTAATTCATTATAAAGATCATACTAATATATACAAAACTACATAATATACATAATATATACATACATATAATAATAATAATCACTAATAAAACCACATTATAATTATCAATTTAGAAATATTTAGAAACAATTATATAAAATGCTCTAATTTTTTTTTCAAGATAGTGTGCTTGTAGCAGATGGCCAGAGACTGATAACACACAGGTAATTCTAATTGGTTTCTATAATAAACAACTAGAGAACTGGGATAGAAAACAGCTACTTACATGAGTTTGGTGACAACCCCATCAAGACCACCTCGATTATGCTGTAAACAACAAACAAATGAAAGTTAGTTGGTTTTTTTTATATGGAAATTTTAATATATGTTAGATTGGTGAAATGATACGTGATGTTGACAGACAGACAGACAGACAGACAGACAGACAGACAGACATACACAGGTGAATCAATATTGTTTACATGTATAAATGTATCTGCTTCTCGCTCTATGATTTGTCGGCTCTTGACCAATCAGCGTTCACCTCTCTCTCTCTCTCTCTCTCTCTCTTTTAACAGTGAGAATCCATCTTCGTATTGTACAGCAGCTTAGCTTAAGTTAAGTTAGGTTAGGTTAGGTTAGGTTAACAGACCAAAACCCCACCATTAAAACAAATAAAATAAATATCACCTGGCAACTTACCCACCCCCCCCTACCTCCTCCCAGGTAAGCTTTCCAATATTGTCTCTGTGTCGCCTTAACGCTATGGTAGCTTAACCGTGATTGGATGGCTGCCAGATTGCCAATAACCAATGAAAATGGTTGATAATATAGTTGGTCTGAACGCTGGGGGTAATACTTCTTGTTGTGTGTGTGTGTGTGTGTGTGTGTAGATGTATATGTGTACGTGTGTGTGTATGTATATATGTATGTATGTGTGTGTGTGTAAGTAATTAATTTTATACACTATTTACCTATACAGACAATCCAATTACCTTTATAAACAATCCAATTACATTTATCTAATATACGAAACTTAAGGCATAGTGGAAATGAATTGCCACAGTGAATTAAGTACTAAAGATGTTTACACGACCCCCCCATACCTGGCTTGCCTAATTAGTGGAGGGGGGTCAGGTGATAGGTGGAGAAATGGGGAAGGTGAGGGAAAAGAGGAAAGAAAGAGGGAGGGAGGTGAGGGAGGAGGGGAGAAGGGGTGAGGGAGGGGGGGGAGGGGTGAGATAGGGAGTGAGGAGAGGGAGATAGGGAGTGAAAAGAGGAGGGAAAAAGGGAAGAGGAGGAGAGGGGGGTGAGGAGAGGGGTGAGAAAAGAGAGAAAGAGGGTGAGGGAGACGAGAGGGGAAGGGCAGGTCAGATAATCAATGCAGTGTTAGTGTGGTACCTGGGTTCTTGATACACGCCCTGCCACGCCACCCACGGTTAGGTTGCCATACCACCCAAGGTCAAGTTGCCACACCACCCACGGTTAGGTTGCCATACCACCCACGGCTAGGTTGCCACACCACCCAAGGTCAAGTTGCCACACCACCCACGGTTAGGTTGCCATACCACCCACGGCTAGGTTGCCACACCACCCAAGGTCAAGTTGCCACACCACCCAAGGTCAAGTTGCCACACCACCCAAGGTCAAGTTGCCACACCACCCACGGTTAGGTTGCCATACCACCCACGGCTAGGTTGCCACACCACCCAAGGTCAAGTTGCCACACCACCCAAGGTCAAGTTGCCACACCACCCAAGGTCAAGTTGCCACACCACCCAAGGGAGGATTAACAATAGCGTGACTTATCAATCTAATATATTATTCCAATTCTTTCTTATACGTCATTACCCTGGAGCTTATGCGTGAGGGCTTCCGGACCTGAAACCTCGAGTCACGAAACCCCCCGGAAGCCACCAAAATGAACCCCCCGCAGGACTGAACCCACCAAAAGGAACCCTCCGGAAGACTGAACCCACCAAAAGGAACCCCCGGAAAACAGAACCCACCAAAAGGAACCCCCAGAAGACTGAACCCACCAAAACCCCCGGAAGACTGAACCCACCAAAAGGAACCCCGGAAGACTGAACCCACCCCCAAAAAAGGAACCCCACTGAACCCACCAAAAGCAACCCCCTGAACCACCAAAGGAACCCCCCGGAAGACTGAACCCACCTAAAGGAACCCCAGGACGAACCCCCCCCCGAAGACTGAACCCACCAAAAAACCCCGGAACTGAACCACCAAAAACCCCACCACCAAAGGAACCCCGAATAACCCACCAAAAGAACCCCGGAAACCCACCAAAAGAACCCCGAAGCCTTAACCCACCCAAAAGGAACCCCCGCCTTAACCCACCAAAAGGAACCCCAGGAAGCCAACCACCAAAGGAACCCCCAGGAGCCTTAACCACCAAAAGGAACCCTTAACCCACCAAGGAACCCCGGAGGAACCCCGGAACCCACCTTAACACACCAAGGAATCCCAGAGCCTTGATGAAACCTCACAAGGAAAATACCAGCACACACACACACACACACACACACACACACACACACACACACACACACACACACACTAAAGAAGGTAGGTAGAATCCCTCTTGTAATGTCGCACCGATCAATGTATTAAGAGAGAGATATTTATTTCCTCCACTTTTCTCCTTCTTACCCTTTCTTCCTTCCTTCCTTCCATCTCTCACCATTCTTTCTTCCTTCTCATCCCGCCGTTCCTCCCTCATCCTTCCTTCCTCCCTCCTACTATCTCTCCCCCCTCCCCAACTTCTTATTTTACATAATTTGATTTACTCGGCAGCCAGAGAAGAGATTTTTATTGTGTTTCTTCACGTAAACAAGTAGTAGTATAGTAGTAGTAGTATAGTAGTAGTAGTAGTAGGTGTTCGGTGGAAGTGAGGTCAAAATAACAAAGGAAGGCCAAAGACACACAGGCGCAGTAATCGGCACGACGGACTTCAAGACCGAGTACGTAACGGGAAAGGTGAATGAGTGGGTTAGGGAAATCCAAGCTCTGTCTGAGATTGCTAACACAGAGCCACATGCGGGTTTTGCTGCATTCACCCATGGAGTCAAGCATCGCTGGAACTACCTGATGCGCACTATCCCTGATATTGGACCCCTCCTCCACCCTCTGGAAGAAGCTATCAGAGTCAATTTCATTCCCAAATTAGTGAAACACCCTCACTTAACCCCAGCAGAAAGATCACTCCTTGCACTACCACCGAGACTGGGAGGAATGGGATTGACCAATCCAGAGGAGATTGCTGCCACCGAACATCAAAACTCAGTTAAGCTCACGGCAGCCCTCACGGACCACATAATAGCCCAGAACGCAACAGGCGAGGTAGATACCAGTGAAGTAAACAAGATTCGAAGGTTCATTACGACAGAACGACAGCACTGCCAAAGTGATAAGTTGCAGCAACTGTTGCTGCAAGTACCAGAGAATTTGAAAAATAAGTAGCTATAGCGCAGGAGGTGGGCGCCTCGAACTGGTTAACTACGTCACCAATAAGGGCAAATGGTTTCAGTCTCAATAAACAAGAATTTACAGATGCCATTGCTCCAAGGTACGGTAGGCCAGTAGAAGGTTTGCCCTCCCAATGCGTGTGTGGCTCTTCGTATGACGTCGATCACGCCATGGAGTGCAAGAAAGGGGGCTTCTAAGGCATGAGCCATGACGAGGTAAGGGATCTCACAGCAAATATGTTGAAGGAAATCTGCCGTAATGTCAGGGTAGAACCGACCCTCCTTCCATTGGACGGTGAGAATTTCCAACATAGGACTTCAAAAACATCCAACGAAGCCCGTGTTGACGTCAGTGCTCCAAGATTCTGGATGCGGGGACAGCGAGCCTTCTTCGACATCAGGATTTTTTATCCCATGACCGCAAGTCACCGTAACTTAGCTCACGATGCTGCACATAGGAGGAACGAGAACGACAAGAGAAGGGCATATGGGGAGAGAATTCAGAAAGTTGATCAAGGCAGCTTCACTCCTCTAGTGCTCACAACCTCTGGTGGGATGGGACCAAGTGCAAGATGTTTCTACGCCAGACTCACGGAGGTGCTATCCGAACAGAAGCAGCAGTCCAGAAGTTATGTTACAGCCTGGATGAGATGTCGACTGTCCTTCTCTCTCCTTCGGTCGGCTTTGCTCTGCCTCAGGGGAACGAGAGCTTCTGCCCCAAAGCCAAATACAGTCACAGATATCGACTATGAGGCAACAGTCACTGAATGCCGCATAGATCTGCGGCTCAACTAACTCAACACAGCCAGGGTAGCTACTTATGTATTAGGATATTTAATATTAAGGTAATAAAATGGCGGAGAAGGTGTGGCTATTGGGGGAGGCTGGAGGCCACCGCGTAGTAGTAGTGGGGGAGGCTAGTAGTAGTAGTGGGGGAGGTTATAGCAGTAGTGGGGGATAACAGAGTAGTAGTGGGGGAGGGGCTGAAGAATAGTAGTAGTGGGGAGGCTAGCAGTTATAGTAGTGGGGGAGGCTGGGGCAGTAGTGGGGAGGCCAGTAGTGGGGAGGCCATAGTAGTAGTGGGGGAGGGGCTAGTAGTAGTAGTGGGGAGGCCAGTAGTAGTAGTGGGGGGACATTAGTAGTAGTAGTGGGGAGGCCAGTGAGGTGGGGAGGCCATAGGTAGTAGGTGGGGAGGCCAGTAGCAGTAGTGGGCAGGGCTAGCAGTAGTAGTGGGGAGGCCAGTAGTAGTAGTGGGGAGGCCAGTAGTGGTAGTGGGGGAGGCTAGTAGTAGTAGTGGGGGAGGCTAGTAGTAGTAGTGGGGGAGGCTAGTAGTAGTAGTGGGGGAGGCTAGTAGTATTAGTGGGGGAGGCTAGTAGTAGTAGATCAAAAATAGCAACTACTCTAAACTGTAGTAACTCAAATATTCAATAAATCATGAGACAGACAGACAGAGAGACAGACAGACAGACAGACAGACAGACTACCAGACAGACAGACAGACAGACTACCAGACAGACAGACAGACAGACAGACTTAAACCACCTTCCACTATACATGGGTATTTTATATAGTGAACCTCCATATAACGAACTTCACTATCCATTGGTATTCGTTATATGGGGGTGATATCTAACGGACCCTTGATATAACGAATGATCAGTTCTATATAGTTCGTTAATAAATGTTTCACATCTAACAGATCTTTAATATAATTTACATATTATAACTGGGGCCTATTAGAACTGGGGCCTATTAGAACTGGGGCCTATTATAACTGGGGCCTATTAGAACTGGGGCCTATTATAACTGGGGCCTATTAGAACTGGGGCCTATTAGAACTG